CGGCGGGCTCGGGCGGGCCGGGCCCCTCGGGGCTCTCGAAGCTGTCCAGGGCCTCCTCGGCGTCGCGGTGCTGCCGGTAGTTCATCCAGCAGCACGCCTCCACGTCGGTCTCGTCGATGCCCCAGAAGGCGAGCTCCTCCTCGAAGAGGGGCCCGCACACGTCGGCGGGGCAGTGCAGCTTGCCGGTGCGGTAGTAGTTGAGCACGTAGGCGAACACGGCCGGGTGGCGGTCGAAGAAGAACTCGCCGGCGCCGGCGTCGTAGTCGAAGCGGGCGGCGGCGCCGGGCTCGGCCAGGCCGGCCAGGCGGGTGCCCGGCAGGGTCTGCAGGGTGCTGCGGTACGTCTCATGGCGGACCCCGCCGACGTTGATCACCACCTTGTCGCGCTCGGCCTGCCAGCCCATGGTCGCGACGGGAGGAGGAGGGGGGAGGCTGTCGCGATAGGAGGAGGAGGAGGAGGAGGAGGAGGGGGAGAGGGGAGGGAGAGGGGACGGAGGTGCCGCATCCCGGCGCGGCGGGGCGGGAGTGAGGGACGGGAGGGAGGGAGCGAGGGCACGCCCACCGTGAGGGGAAACCACGCCCACCGTGAGGGGAGGACACGCCCACCGTGAGGGGAGGACACGCCCACCGTGAGGGGAAACCACGCCCAAACCGAGGGGAAAAGCCCGCCTTGAGGAGAGACCACGCCCACCATGAGGGGAGGATACGCCCACACTGAGGGGAGGACACGCCCACCCTGAGGGGGAAAAGCCCGCCTTGAGGAGAGACCACGCCCACCATGAGGGGAGGATACGCCCACACTGAGGGGAGGACACGCCCACCCTGAGGGGGAAAAGCCCGCCTTGAGGAGAGACCACGCCCACACTGAGGGGAGGACACGCCCACTGTGAGGGGAAGACACGCCCACACTGAGAGGACACACCCGCTATGGGAGGCCACGCCCACCACAACACTGAGCCCCCCCACCCACATGGAGAGGTTCCGCCCATACACGTGTGGAAGCCCCGCCCACTCCCCAGCGAGGCTACTGGGAGCACTGGGAGGACAATTCGAAGGAGTCCGGGGGCTACTGGGGTGTACTGAGATGTACTGGGATATACTGGGCCGTGCTGGGCTATACTGGGCTGTACTGGGACATACTGGGCCATACTGGGCTGTACTGGGATGTCCTGGGCTGTACTGGGATATACTGGGATGTACTGGGATATACTGGGCTATACTGGGGCATACTGGGATATACTGTGCCATACTGGGCTATACTGGGCTGTATTGGGATATACTGTGCCGTACTGGGGCATACTGGGGTGTACTGAGATGTACTGGGCTATACTGGACCATACTGGGCTATACTGGGCTGTACTGGGATATACTGTGCCGTACTGGGACATACTGGGCTGTACTGGGATATACTGTGCTATACTGGGCTATACTGGGCTGTACTGGAGCTGGGGGGTGGTCTTTGGGGTCCCCCCCCCTAAGGAGCAGCCGAGACCAGGAGCCCCCAAAACCTGCAGCTTTATTGTGGGGATGGGGGGGTGGGGGGTGGTCTTTGGAGGGGGAGGGGTCACTGGGTGGTCCCAGGTGGTCCCAGGTGGCCCCGGGGGTCCTTGGTGGTCCCAGATGATCCCAGGTGGTCCCTGGTGGTCCTGAGAGGTTCCAGGTGGTCCCAGCTGGTCCCAGGTGGTCCTGAGAGGTTCCAGGTGGTCTCTGGTGGTCCCAGATGGTCCCAGGTGGTCCTGAGAGGTTCCAGGTGGTCCCTGGTGGTCCGGGGAGGTTCCAGGTCATCCCAAGTGGTCCCAGATAGCCCCTGGTGATCCCGGGGTTCCTAGGTGGTCCCAGGTGATCCCAGGTGATCCCAGGTGGCCCCAGGTGGTCCCAGGTGGTCCCAGGGGGTTGTGGGTGATCCCAGGTAGTCCAGGTGGTCCCAGGTGATCCCAGGTAGTCCAGGTGGTCCCAGCTGATCCCAGGTGGTCCCAGGGGGTTGTGGGTGATCCCAGGTAGTCCAGGTGGTCCCTGATGATCCCAGATGGCCCCAGGTGGCTCTGGGGGTCCCAGCTGATCCCAGGTGGCCCCAGGGGGTCCCAGAAGTCCCTGATGGTCCCAGCTGGTCCCAGGTGGCCCCAGAAGTCCCAGGTGGTCCCAGGTGGTCCCTGGTGGTCCCAAGCAGTCCCAGAAGTCCCTGATGGTCCCAACTGATCCCAGGTGGTCCCAGCTGATCCCAGGTGGTCCCTGGTGACCCCGGTGGTCCCAGAAGTCCCAGCTGGTCCCAGCTGATCCCAGGTGATCCCTGATGGCCCCAGGTGGCCCTGGGGTGTCCCAGCTGATCCCAGCTGATCCCAGCTGATCCCAGGTGGTCCCAGGTGGCCCCGGGGTGTCCCAGATGATCCCAGCTGATCCCTGATGGTTCCAGGTGGTCCCAGGTGTCCCCAGGTGTCCCCTGGGGGGGGTGTCACTTGCTGGGCGCCAGCCCCACGCGGTTCAGGTCGCGGTCGAAGACGACGTAGAAGCGGGTCAGGAACACGTCCCCCAGGATCCAGAGCGGCCCCGAGGGGGGCGGCACGTCCAGCCCCATGAACCCGCTGATGCACGTGGGGGAACCCCACTGGGACACCTGGGGACATTGGGGACACATTGGGGACATCATTGGGGACATTGGGGACACATTGGGGACATTGGGGACACATTGGGGACATTGGGGTCCAGCCCCATAAACCCGCTGATGCACGTGGGGGAACCCCACTGGGACACCTGGGGACATTGGGGACACATTGGGGACATTGGGGACATTGAGGGGATTGGGGACATTGGGGTCCAGCCCCATGAACCCGCTGATGCACGTGGGGGAACCCCACTGGGACACCTGGGGACATCATTGGGGACACATTGGGGACATTGGGGACACATTGGGGACATTGGGGGACATTGGGGACACATTGGGGGGATTGGGGACACATTGGGGACACACTGGGGGACATTGGGGACACACTGGGGGGACACTGGGGGACACTGGGGGAACATTGGGGACATCATTGGGGCCAGGGGGTGGCACCTGCATGACGTAGTCCTGGGGTCCCAGGGTGAACTTGTGTCCCCCCATCTCGAAGGTGACGTTGGGCAGGGAGGGGACCTTGTCACAGTCCAGCACGTACTGGGGGGGAGGGGACACGGGGGGGGGACAGAGACCCCCCCCCAAAACAGGAATCAGGGGTCTGGGGGGCACCCAGGGACCCCCAAACCCCCCCAAAACAGGAATCAGGGGTCTGGGGGGCACCCAGAGACCCCCAAACACCCCCCCAAAACTGGAATCAGGGGTCTGGGGGGCACCCAGAGACCCCCAAACCCTCCCACCCCCCAAAAACAGGAATCAGGGGTCTGGGGGGCACCCAGAGACCCCCAAACCCTCCCACCCCCAAAAAAACTGGAATCAGGGGTCTGAGGGGCACCCAGAGACCCCCAAACCCCCTCCCAAACTGAAATCAGGGGTCTGGGGGGTACCTAGAGACCCCCAAACACTCCCCCACCCCCCCAAAAACAG